ATACATAGATACATATATACATACATCCTTCAAGCAGCCATGCATGGTCTTGCTCAAATTTAATCGCACATTTGCTAAACTACATCTTCTCCCTCTCCCCAGGCTCCAAGCGTCTGAGAGCCCTGCTCATCAAAGAACAAGACTGCATCGCTCATCTCCTTGGGTTGCATGTTCCGCTGCAGCTCCGGGGCTGGACAAACTAAATTTGACTAATACTGGCAGCATCGCCTGTGGCCGATTTGAGTTTGTTGTTCTGCCAGGAGAAACCGGCTCTGCATTGAGGAAGTGGGTGGATTTTCAAACAGCCGCGCGATGTGACAGGGGATCGACGTGAGATTTCTGCAGCAGAAGGACACCCAGAAATGCTGAAAACTGCAAGACAAGGCCACAGCCACTCTATCCCACTATCCTGGCCATAGCTACCTAAACTTGTGCACAGCTGGGCGTCCGCTTCGCGGAAGAGCTTCAAGACGCTGGAGCCATCCTCATCCGAGCCCAGACCAGGCTCACTGTGGTGGCTGTACAGCGTCTTGAAATTCACCTGCACATAAGGCTTTGCCTAGGGTGAGATATCTTATAGTACAGTATACAGTATATCAAAATATATTATCCCGCCTCAGCGCGGCTCCCGCTTGAAGCTATGACAGGTTCTGTTTCGGAACAGCATGGTTTGGGCTCATAGAGTCGCCAATCGCTGCTAGCAAGAGTTAAGACGCAAGAGTTTCAAAAAATCACGTGTTGGGGTCTAAGAACGAAGGCAGCATTGAGACTGACTGTGTCCGCTGTTGAAGCGTTGGCACAGTGATCTAAGGCATCAACCGGGTAACTAGGGTCCGCACTGCAAAATCACGTTGCCCGCAGCCTCTTTCTAACAATAGTGATACTACGAACAGCAATAAATGTAATAATGATAGTAATCAGAATAATGATCATAATCATAAAAACAGAATCACAAACCACGAACATGCGACCATGCCGCGAGCAAGACTCGCTTCTCCAAATGGGCAGCGAGGGCGTTCACCATCAGTGTCTTTCCGGTGCCACTCGGCCCACAGAACATTAACACCAGGCCGGACCTCAAGTGGAGAAGGATTGCGCTCTGGGCTAATGCTTCTTCGATCATTTACTCTCTCCCATACGCCTATCTATATATATATATATTGATATT